CCTCAAACTTTTCAGCATTCCAGAATCAGAAGAAATTACTCAAACTGTTGTGTCAAAGGTTTTAAGGACCAGATGCCTACAGAGGGCACCATTTGAAATGTTGTTCTGCATTTATAGGAATTGGTTTCAGTCTTTAAAAGGGATGGTGACTGGCTGGACAGTATGTTGGCACAGGTGTTACCTGGAGACACTTGACCAGCCTTTTTTCTTTTCAGCATTCCAGAATCAGAAGAAATTACTCAAACTGTTGTGTCAAAGGTTTTAAGGACCAGATGCCTACAGAGGGCACCATTTGAAATGTTGTTCTGCATTTATAGGAATTGGTTTCAGTCTTTAAAAGGGATGGTGACTGGCTGGACAGTATGTTGGCACAGGTGTTACCTGGAGACACTTGACCAGCCTTTTTTTAGATGCTGTGGAGCTGCGGTAGCTGTGGGGATTTTGAGCTGGCTCATCTGTCCATCTGGTCTTGTGTCCGTCTGAAAAGCACCGTGCTGACTCACTAATGGAGCCAGCTCCTCAGGTAGGTCCGGGTGCCTGACTCTGCTTCTGCTTATGAAAACTGTCCCTTTGCCATTGATGGGAAAGGGTATGTGGGTGGGAAAGTCATGTAAACAAAGCAAAGGTGCAAACCATATTCTGCTGGGCAGAAAAGTGGGTCTTTAACCTTGCAGCAACTCACAATAAAACCACACCTTTCCCCTTGAAGACAAAGCCTGCAAGTCTGTGTAATGTTCTTTCCCCGCCCCCTAATCCTTTTAGTTTTTTGCCACCAGGCAGTAGTCTTGCCTGATCTAAAGATGTGAAAAGAAGCTTAGGTGGAAAAAATAGCCATTGGAATACACTATTGTAACCAGAAAGTGTGTAAACTGGTGCTTTTATGTTAACTTTGCTTGATGATGAAATGGAAGAGAAGACTAAAACAACAAGCTTGCTGAATCCAGCTTTCCCTCAAGGATGAGTTAAACTGGAGTGGGTGGAATTATACTCAGGTGAAACTGTCTCAAATCCATGTGGAAACTTAACCTACCATTCAACCACAAATAAATAGTGCTGGGTAATCAATCTGCTTGGTGAGTGATTTGATCAGGTGCCGATCTGGGCTAGGTTGTGGAGGTGGATGGGGAAACCTGAATAACCGCAGCTTTCTGAAGGGGACAGTGGGAAAGAATGGTACCTTTCCCGTGTTGCCAAAAAAAACACAAAACAAAAAAAATCAGCTGATTATGAAATCTAGGCATTTCCCTCATGCTGATTTCTTTCTATTCAGTGAAAAGAAGTGGCGTTTGGAGACTTTACTGTAAGCCTTAGGCAAGAACTGAAATCCCTCAATATCATCCCTGGCACGTGAGCAATATTTGGAGAATATTACTCACTGTAGTTATTTGAGGCTAAACAGGGAATTCTTAAGATTCTCTGTCTGTGTCGAAATCATCCAAGTTACAGAAGCAATGTTGGCTTGTAGAAGGGCTTATGTGCCCCAAAGTTGATCGTTTCCCACCATTTATATTAACTGGTCTAGTAACAAGTACTTTCTTGTCCCACAAACCGTACCTCATTTGATGCTGACAGCTGTTGTTTTTCAAAGCAATACTGAGCACTGAGTGGTGTCTTTTACTTAACTGTAGGAAAATGAGGCTATTCTAGCCATGTCTTTGTATCTGACCTTATGAGGTAGTCTTCTTGTGTCATCCCGACTGCTTGCTTTTAAATGAGCTTTTGTGAGTGGCTGTCCATTCTCTGTTTGGCGATTTGGATGTCCAAAACCTGAAGAATTATTCTGATAAAGAGCAAGAGCTTGAAGGGATAGAAAGTGACAGGCGGTAAATGAAATTAGGACAGAAATCTTCATTGCCCTGTACCTTGTCCAAAGTGGGTGTGAAGTCAGAAGAGCATTTGATACCTGCTTTGTGATCTAGCAAGTGACTTTTTAAGGTGCAAGACAATGAAGGACCGTGCCCAAAATACACAACTGCTGTTGTGGTCAAGACTTGCTGATCCCTTTGCAAAACCGTTCGAAGATCTACTATTGCTAGTAAAACCAATGTGTTCAGAGCTGCTGTTTTGTCTGCGTAAATGGGCATGCTCAGGTGACAATGATTTCCAAAAGCTTCACCCTATTATTTGATGTAAGGCCAGCTGGAAGGCCTCAGTTTTCTCCATGTAATTTTGTGAAGCAGCAGGTCTTCCCGATAATTATCTTTGCTGTATTTCTGTCAAATACTGCTTGAAACTTTGGTAGTAGAACAGAGAACTTGCAGCAGCAGCAGCTGTCATCTGAGAGCCAGCAGTGCAGACCAGATGTGTGATGTTAGGGACATCTCTCTCTTCAAAGGCTTTTATGCTGCTGGAAAAGGTGCTTTATTTCTGTAGCTTATAAACGTGCACCAGGCACAGCTTCCAGGACCAGAAGTGCTGTCTGTATTTGAGAGAACAGGGATACTTGGACTTGCTGTCAGGTTTGGATGCTTTTAGTAAAATCTGCAGATGCTACATAACATGGATATTTCTGTTCTTACTTGTCCACAGAGTTCACTGAGGAGACCAAAACCAGAAACAATTCATCTTTCTAAACCTCACTGCCTTGATTGATCCAGACACTCAAGAGGCAGGATATCTTTGCTGTCATAAAACCCAGAAAACCTGTGCTACTTCGTATTAAAAAAAGGCATTGAAATTTATGAGAACAGCTAGGGAAGCAACTGAGAGGTACTGGTCTGGGGAGCTGCCAGCCAGCACCTCAAGTGACTGATCAAGAGTCCATCAGTTTCCCATGTATATTAATGTTGCTAGCTCAGCTTTCACAGCATTTTTAAGGCAATAATTGTCCTAGCAAATCAGCAATATAATTTAACTACTGCTGTCTAAACTAGTTTCATGGTCATCCATTTTCTAAAGTCACCAAATTTTATTATTTACCCACAATACAATTATACCAAAACATACATATATTTAAGAAAAAGAAACACCTTTACAGAAATGTTGATAGTGCTTTGAAATATTCTGTCACAGCCGGGGCTCTGTTAGACATTGCTAGAGGTCTCCCCGCTTGAATATTCCCCCGTTGCGCTGGGCAGAACAAACTTCACGTATCTCCCCTTCTCCCAGCCCCTCCTGATTCGCAGAAGTCTTTGCTGGATGCAGGGCAAACTGAAGATGACTTTTGCTAGGATCACAGTACATGGGACAAGCAGCGTGAGGGTGTAGGTCGGAGGCAGGTAGAATTTGTACTGGTTCTCATCGAAGGCCCTCGACCATCCGTACGTGAGTGTGTGCAGAGTGCTGATTACCAAGGCAATAAATCCAAGGGTGGACTAAAAGGAAGAGGAACACACACCAGTTAGCAGAGGACCTCATGCCTGGCTATTTTCCTATATTTTTTCACTCTATTCTGTAAGTGTACGTAGCACAGAGAAAGCAATGAGTATTCCTGCGTTTCTTGGACAGAATAAAACGCGACTGGAAACCTTTCCCGGGTAACGTGCCAGACTGCATTTTTCTTTTTCTAATCAGAGGTTAAGTGTGATATTAGAATCTCAGCAGG